TACCATGTTTTTTCAGCATCACTTGATATGATCATGTACTTTTTTCTTTTGAACCTGTTAATATGCTGTATTACATCGATTTCTGAATAACGAATCAACTTGCATTCCTACTTGGCTGTTATGTATTATTCTTTTTATATATTGCTAGATTGAATTTATCAATTTGGTTGAAGACTTTTATGCCTCTGTTCATCAAAGATATTGCTCTGTAGTTTTCTTTTTTTAGAACACTGGTCTCAGAAAATAAGTTAGGAATTACTAGTATTCCTTCTTCTATTTTCTTGAAAAGATCATGTAAAAATTGTTGTTGTCATCTTTAAATATTTGGTAACATTTGCCAATAAAATCATTTGGGCCTAGAGTTTTGGGGGGAAGCTTTCAAATATAAATTCAGTCTCCTTAATAAATATAGATTTTATGGGTTTTCTATTTCTTCATGAGTGAGATTAGTTTGTGGTCAACTTTAAAGTTTATTCTAGAGTTATTTGTATTATTCCCTAATCATCCCTTTAATGTCTGTTGGATTTTAGTCATATCCTCTTTTTAATTACTTATATTAATAATTTTTGGCATCCCTTTTTTCCATTGTCAGACTGACTAGAGATTTATCAATTTTATTAGCCTTTAAAGAACCATCTTTTAGTTTTACTGATTTTCTCCATTGTTTTTCTTCTTTCGGTTTTACTCCTTTTTATTTCTGCTCTTGTCTTTATTATTTCCTTCTTGTGCATGCTAAAGGTTTATTTTGTTATTCTTTACTAGTTTCCTAAGGTGGAAATTTATATTATTGATTTTTAAAATTTTCTTTGTATGAACACTTAAAACCATACTGTTCTCTTTAATCACTGCTTTAGTTGCATACCGTATGTTTTGATATGCTCTATTTCATTTTTGTTCAGTTAAAATATTTTTTCTAATTTCCCTTGAGATTTCTTTGACTCATGAAGTATTTGTAAATGTTTTTTAAATTAATTATTTGGAGATTTTTTCCAGTTATAGTTCTGATATTGCTCATTTAATTCATTTATATTTGTTAAGGTTTGCTTCGTGGCAAAGAAGATAGTCTAGAATTGCGAATGCTGTATGTGTGCTTGAGAAGAATGTGTATTCTGTTGCTGGTAGAGTGTTTTCACATGTCAACTAGATCCAGTCAGTTGACGGTAATGTTCAGTTCTTCTATATCGGTGATTCTCATGGTGGGAGTAGGGGGGCAATTTTGCCCTCAGTGGACAGTGGCGATATTTAGAGACATTACTGATTGTTATTAGTATAGAGCTACTGGCATTTCGCAGGTAGAGCCTTCTGACCTTCTGTTGATAAACATCTTACAATCACAGGAGAGGCCCCCCCTCCCGTCAGTGCCCCACCCCCGCCAACAACAAAGAGGTATCTGGCCTCAAATGGCCATAGAGCCGAAACTGAGCAACCCTATTTCTTGCTGAATTTCTCTCTAGTTGTTGTATTGATTATTGAGAAACAAGTATTGACATTTCCTATTGTAATTATACATTTTTCCATTTATTCTTTCAATTTTATCAGTTTTTCCTTCATTTATAGCAAAGCTCTGTTGTTCAGTATACACACATTTAGGATTTTTTAGCTTCTTGGTAAAGTGTCCCTTTATCAATACTATATTTTGTAGTATTATTCTTAATCTCAGGTAAATTTTCATGCTCTGAAATATATGTTGTCTATACTGATATTAATAAAGTCACTCAGTTTTTCTTTAGTGTCTGCATAGTATGTGTTTTCCTATGTTTTAAAACTTACTTTTATTTATTTAAAGTGGATTTCTTTTTTTTTCTTTTTTTAAATATATTTTTATTGATTTTTTACAGAGAGGAAGGGAGAGAGATAGAGAGTTAGAAACATCGATCAGCTGCCTCCTGCACATCCCCCACTGGGGAAGTGCCCGCAACCCAGGTACATGCCCTTGACCGGAATCGAACCTGGGACCCTTCAGTCCGCAGGCTGACGCTCTATCCACTGAGCCAAACCGGTTTTGGCTAAAGTGGATTTCTTAAAGATAGCATATGATTGGGCCTTTTCTTTTATCATCTATTCTGGTAGTTAGGCTTTTAATGGGTGTGTTTGGGACATTTTCATTTAATGTAGGTGTTGATATGCTTGGATTTAGGTCTGCTATTTTAATAGTTGTATTTTGCTTCTTCCATTTCCCTCTTGCTTTCTTTTATATTATTTGAATTTTTCCTAGATGCATCAATGTAATTTATATATTGAATTTTTACTACATGTATACTTATATAATTATATATAGGCAGATATACATCATATTATACTTTTTATAATTATACATAAAAATCTATTTTCAACTTTATGCACCTAGTTTTTTACTGTCTTTAGTGATTGCTCTGGAGATTTAAACAGCACACTTACCTTCCATGGTCTACTTAGAGTTCCTATTTTACCACCTTTTGCCACTTCAAAAGCAATGCAAAAGCCTTGCCTCCCGTCAGCTCCCGTCCATTCCCCCCATTATGTTGCGCTTGTCATATCCCACCTCTGTGCACTGAAAACCCCATTAGACAGCATTAACATTCTTGCTTCCAACCATCACAAATATTTTAAAGACCTTAAGGGGAGAAAATAGTCAATTATGTTCCACAGAAATTTACCATTTCCGTTGCTCTTCTTAACTTTAGCCCAAAGCACAGTGTCTCTCACCTTAGGAACTTTCTGTAGCATTTCTTTCACAGCAGCTCAGCTAGTGGCAATCCTTTTATTTTCCATTAATCTGACAATGTCTCTAATTTGCTGGCGTTCATAGAGGATTCCTTTATTCACTGTTTTGTCGAGGTTGTTTCCCCCAGCAATTTAAAAGATAATTTTGTAGTACCTCTGGCCTCTATGGTTTCTACTGACTCCAGGGGCTGTCTTACTGCCGTTCCCTGAAGGTAATGTGTCCTTTTTCTCAGGCGGGTTTCAGCATTGTGTTTAATTTTGAGCAGTTTAATGATGCTTCTGGGTGTGGATTTCTTTAAACTCAGTTATCCTCTTGGAGTTCACTGAGCTTCTTGCAAGTTAATTTTACGTCTTTCACCAAATTTTTCAAGTTTTACCCGTTTTTTCCTTCAAATACTTTTCTGTGCCACAGCTTCATCTCTCTGCCTCTAGGGCTACATCTGCATGTCACTATGGAGATGGAGATGTATGTTTTATCCGGCACCAGAGGCGCACGTTCTGCCCTTCTGTTGGTTCTGCGATCATGGTTACAATGTCCCTCCCATTTTCAGAGACTTTGCGGTGCTGGTGGGGCCAGGCCCTCTGTCCACCCAGGCACCAGCCCGGAGCCTGCACAGCGGGCTCTCTCAGCTCAGTCTAAGCTGTGGGGCTCTGGGTATGGGGCAAGGTACTGAAGACCCTATTCAGGGTTTCATTCATGCACCAGCAGCTCAGGGTGCATCCGGGAGTTCACGCACAACTTTATTAAACTTCCTCCTCTGTGCAATCTCCCCAACACTGAGTGGCTCCCTCAACACCCCGCCAGTGCCCTTGGTCTTCTGGTTAGAAATCCAGGCCTTTTGTTTTCTAAATCCGCTGTTCACTTCCTGCCACCCTCTCTGCCTCCAGGGCCAAGTGACAGCAGGAGAGAGAAAGGCAACCTCCTCCTGGGATCAGTGTGGGCAGAGAATGGCTCTCTGCCTTGGTTCTAGGTTCTGGGTTCCGGGCCTGCCTGGCTGACTGAGATGCAGGTCTGCCTGGGGCCGAGGCAGGGGCGGGGTAAAGCCAGGCCTTGCACACCCACTCTGAACCTAACAGGCCCCATTGCTACTCTGGGCCAGAGAGAGAGGCTCTTCTTGGAAGTCTTTCTATCATCTCGGGGCACAACTGCTCCCACTTTTGAGTTACTTCTCCCGCCGCCCGCCTGGCAGCCTTTGTGGCCAGCGTGCTGGAAGCGCGCTGTCCATGCAGGACCTGGAGGTGGTGCACTCACGGTGGCCTAGGGAGAGCGGACTGACTCCTCCCACCCGAGTGGGCCGGACTTTTGTTTCCAAGCTGCTTTACTCCCTCTGGTTCCTCAGAGCAACGTGATATAGAGACTCCAATGCTACTGGCCACGGTGCTGTGCTCAGTAATTATGCCTGAATGTGGTGGGTCCTTGTTTCTAAAGAAGAGGGTCTGCTCTCCAGGCTGCTCAGAAGAACATTAACGATGCTGAGGGCTGAGCTGACCGATGCTCTCACGGGCTGACTCTGGGGACCTCCCTCCATCCCAGGAGGCTGTGGTCCAGGAGGACCAGCACAGGGTGGGACCCTCCGAGGAGTGGCCGTGGTGGCTTACAGGGAGCACGGGGTGGGCAGCTTTCACCCACCTCCCTTGGACACAGGATTATCGGATGAGGAAAGCGTGGTGATGGCGCACACGCCTGGCTGCTGGCACTTCATGTGCTACATGAACTTGGTTCCTGAGAAAGAGCCTGAATGACGGAGCAGAGGAACTGCAGGCACCGTGGCCACCCACCCACTGCAAGCATTTGTCTCCTCATGTCCACGCTGTGGCCCTGCTGAGGATTCAGCAGACACACTGTGGCAACCTTAACATAACTCTAAAGAAAGACTAGGTTTCTGTGAGGGTCTGGGAAGTGGTAGGTAGCCAAGAGGACACACATACATGATTACATGTACCCCTGGCCTGGGAGGGGTCGGGTGTATTTGAAAGTCCAGGACATTGGAGAGATTATTAAGCCAGGGAACGACACAGCTAGATGGACACTGAGCCTCCTGCAGCCCCTCTTACTTACATCTGGGAACAGAGGTCTGAGGAAGGCAGGCAGTTTACTGAAGGTCTTGTCTCGGTGACTTCTGCTGATGCCCTAATTTCTCTCCACTTTCCTCTTTCTCTCCTTTTAAACTGTTAGAGAGCAAAGCATTATGCTTTGGGGGAAGTCCAATACTCTCCTGTCATCTCCTAACTTGATATTTTTCTCTTATCAGAGTATATCGTCTAGCAGCTTCAAGTGACTTTTTCCTCAACCTGATCACCAACCAACCAGAACAGCACACTTCAAACATATCCTTCACTAAAAAACATGGCCAAGAGTGGGAAGAGCCCCAAGGGCAAGAAGATCACCCTCAATGTGGCCAAGAATTGTATCAAAATCACGTTCGATGGGAGAAAACGCCTCGACTTGAGCAAGATGGGAATCACCACCTTCCCCAAGTGTATTCTGAAACTCAATGACATCGATGAGCTCGATCTTAGCCGGAATATGCTCAAGAGGATCCCTGATTCAATCTCCAAGTTCCAGAGCCTACGGTGGCTGGACCTGCACAGCAACTACATCGACAAGCTCCCCGAGTCCATCGGCCAAATGACTAGTCTGCTGTACCTCAATGCCAGCAACAACAGGCTGACCACTAACGGGCTGCCCGTGGAGCTCAACCAGCTTAAGAATATCCGCACCGTGAATTTAGGCCTGAACCACCTGGACAGTGTGCCCACCACACTGGGTGCTCTGAAGGAGCTCCATGAGGTCGGGCTCCATGACAACCTGCTCAGCGCCATCCCCACCAGCATCTCCAAGCTCCCCAAGCTGAAGAAGCTCAACACCAAGAGAAACCCCTTCCTCCAGCCAGAGGAGACGGAGGTCTTCTTAGATTCCATCAAGAGGCTGGATAACTTATATCTGGTGGAGGCGAAGGATCTGTGTGGGTCTTGCCTGAAAAAATGCCAACAGGCCAGAGATAAGCTGAACAAAATCAAGAGCCTAGTCCCAGTGACACCGAAAAAGGCCGCCTTCACCAATTTAATCGCGCCCAACTCCACGGCCAAGGAGTCCCAGGAAGAATGGAGGTGACCTTGTACCCTGACCCCGAGGCAGAAAGGGAACAGGGAGGGAGGAAAGATGGCAATGGGCTGCTTCCACAGAAAATTGAGAGGTTGCCCCATGACTGCAATAATGCTTTCAGCTAAGCCCATAAAGTACTTTCCCTACCGTCTTGGCTTGTGGTTTTGTTGCCTGAAGGGCTCTTGGTTCTTGGTCATTGTCTCTCAGCGTGCACACCCCGCCCATGCAGACATAGGAGGAGGAAAAGGGCTGTCAGCTCACTTCTGCTCCAGAACTCTCCTCCTGCCACAGCCCCGTGGCCCGGCAGCTGAGATAGCCACACTCTTAGCTTCGTTATCTTCACTTCAGGACTAACCACCAGCTCCCAAATGTGGGGCTTGTTCTGTGGAGCTGCTTTGGGTCAGAGCTTCAAAGGTCAGGGGCAGCTAGGAGGCAGAGGACATTAGCCTTGGAAGGGAACAAAGCAGAGGTGGGAAGATATTATCATTAAGCATCCCAGGTAACATCCTGGGCTCTCCTGGGCTCTGAGCGGTGCTCTCTCTCTCTCTGTTTGCATAATCTGCTCTAGGGACTTTATCTCCACTCAGCCTGCAAGCCCTGGGCTATGAATGAAGAGGCTCCACTCCCCTCTCACTCTGCCCAATTCTCTTCCAGTCTCTGGTGGGAAGAAGGAAAGAATGGCTGCAGGTATGGGCTGGTGCAGTCAATAAATAAGTACCTTACCAGGCCCTGTGCTGGGTGCAGGGATTGCATCCCGTAGGCCAAAGCATGGCTCACCCTGGGCCACCTGTAGGGAAGACACACTGGAAGAAGACAGACAGAGGAAGGCAGGCTCTCAGGCCATCCGCCTGGGCAGAGAGAACATCAAAAGTGCAGTTGGCCAGAGCTAGGTTCAGGGCATCTCTTCCTCTTGCCATTGCCCTGGGCTTCTTACTTAGCTTTGGCTCCCTCATCTGTAACGTGGGAATGATACGACCCCAACTCTAAGGGTCACTGAGCACCTACAGGGACAACACATGGGGAAGCACTCAATAGAAGTCAGTTCTCTAAGACCTGGGCTTCGTGTGTATCAAGCTGAAATCCCACTTCGGAGAGTGTCCGTCTTTGTACCAGATCTTTGGGCAGAAATGACAGTGGTGGAGCCAGTCCTCGCAGACGAGAGAACTTTCTGGACCACCCGCACCTCCATACTGCCTAAAACAAAAGGTCAAGAAAACCACCTTCAGCAAAGCTTTTAAACACTTTAATCGAGGCTCTTCTGTGTTGGCGGCAAGTCCTATGGAAGTCGATGGAAAAGCACTGAAGGTCCATGGTTCAGAGGGAGGAGCGTATTTCTTTGTTCACATTACAAGCCGGAGCAGACAGCACACTGCATTTCTTCACTCCTCACTGTCCATTTCTATTCGTAATGCTTAGTCGTGACAACTCCACCATATTTTTAAAAATATATATATATTTATTGATTTAAGAGGAAGGAAAAGGGAGAGATAGAAACATCAATGATGAGAGAGAATCATCGATGGGCTGCCTCCTGCATGCTCCCAACTGGGGATCGAGCCTGCGACCGGGCAGGTGCCCTGACCAGGAATGGAACTGCGACCTCCTAGTTCATAGGTGAACACTCAACCACTGAGCTATGCCAGCCCTCTCTGCCCCATCACACTCAGTCCCCGCTGCCCTTGTCCTCCATGCCCTCTCCAAGCACCGCTCCTGGGTTCGCTGCCCATTGATTGATTGGCATGCAGGTGACGTTTACTCGCCAGCCTTGTTCTAGGTGCTTCATTATGTTTTCGTTCTCAGCCATGTCTTAGGAAGAGGGGGTGGCAGAGGGATAAAACGAATTGTTGTTGATGGTGGTAGTTGCACACAACCACATATATGACAAAATGGCAAAAGACTGTGCACACATATTGTACCAAGGACAATTTCCCGGTTTTGAAATTGTACTGTAGTTGTGTAAAATGCAACTATTGGGGGAAATTCAATGAAGGCTTCATGGGGACTCTATGTATCATTTTTTCAACTTCCTGTGATTCCGGAGTTAATTTAAAATAAAAAAGTTAAAGACCATCTCACCAGCTAGATGCGGCAATAAATAGATCTGTGGACATGTGCCAAGCGCTAGCTTGTGAGTGACCATGGGAAGCTGAAAGCTCTCAGGAGCCCCGAGCTATGGCATTTCAGGATAAAGAGTCCCTTTGCCTCAGTTTACCAACCTAATCTAAGCTACCGTTGTTGATCGTGTCCTTCATGATTCCTGAGAAAGATGCTAAAATAGAATAAAGTGCCTGGCATCTTTACCCATGTCCCAGATTTTCAGTGGGTGGCTGGGGACCTTGAGCTAGTGAGTTTCTGCCTTCCAGCAATTCTGCTGTGGGCCTGGTCTGAGCCGCGTGGTCTCTGCAGCTGCCCTCCCAGGCTGTGCTCCTGGGAGCACACCTATGCACCCAGTGGGGGCGGCAGCTCTCCTCACTAAGCAAGCAGGGCTCACATGCTCGGCCTCGCGCTGCTCAGCCCCGTGGTCTCTAGAGAGTAGGGTTGCGGAACACAGGGGGAGGTGGACTTGAATCTTAGCCTCCACGCTGCCGGCAGGGGGCCGGGGTGTTAGTGACTGTCTTGGAAGGTCATCTTCTTATAGATCTTTATAACCAGTTATGGTTTGTTTTCTAAGTTCTTCCATTGCTTTTCAAAGATAATCTATAAAGGAAATTCTGACAACGCTCAACTGTAGAACCTTGTGCCCAAAAGTGTATTTCATTTTAAACGTTATTAAGTAAACTATCCAACTGAGAGAATAGTTCAGAAACTGCAACCACCCAACAACCGGGTCACACCCAACACTGTCCTCCAGCCCAGGGCACCTTGGGCCTGAGGACACATCAGTGAGTGCATCCCTCATCAGAGAGCATGGCCCTGGAAGGGTGCCTTCCGCGCATCTGAGGACATGTGAGGAGGAAGGAGCCTGCAGGCAGCCTCGCCTTGCGTCTCTGAGTTCTCTAACCCTGGGCTCGAGATGAACCGAGATCCCTGGGGAGCAGCATCACTGAGCCAGGCCATGTGCATCCCAAACACATGTCTGTGCAGAAATAGGGCCACATGTTAGGGCCCTGCTTTTCCAGAGACACAATATAAAATATTATATTCTGTAGTGCTCTTCCTTCAAACTTTATAAAAACGAAATTGACTTTGGTATCACTACCCTTTAGACAAGGGCAAATTTGATAGTCGGTGCCAAGAGAAAGTTTTCTGGGGGTAAAAGTTCAAAACCCTCTGTCTCTGGTTATCCGTCCTTGGAAAGCAATGTAAGCCAGCCCAATGGTTTTGCTTCTACAGTTTCAGTGGTTTTGTTTCTATAGTTGCAGGACCCCAGTACCTGACCACATTACTTTTTCTCCTTTGAGAGAACTCTGGCAAATGAATGGTTCCAGGCTCATTGTACCTTGTATTTAACTTTGAAGCTGTTTCCGGCCCTTTGTGGAGGGCACAGATAGCTGTGTTAGTCACATGCGCATTCCACGCTAGCTGCCCTTCCCCTGTCACTCGGCCATTCCCCCTCCTTTCCTGACTGGCCCCTCACAATGCAGCAGAGCCCGTGGGTGGGTGTCTAACATGGGGAGTGCTCTGGCTGCCAGGCACTTGGCAGGGGGTCCTGCGGGGTTCCTGCTAGAAGGCCCTGTAGAGGCAGAGCCCAGCACTGAAGTGAGCCTGGTTATGCCGCCTCCCTGCCTTCAGAGTGGTCTGGCCTTGTGCTGTGGGAGAGACAGGTGGATTACAGGCTCTAGGCTCATCCAGACTTTGCAAGTATTTTCTGCTTGTAACCCAGGCACAGAAATTCCTTGGAATTCAGCTCAGGGTGAGGGAGGGGGCAGCCATTGTCGCTGGAATTATAGGCAAAAACCTGGCCCTTAAAAGCTCTGGTCCCTGTGTAGGGGGCCGGCCTCCGGAGGGCTAGCGCAGTCATCAAGAGCGGGGACCGAGATCAGAACCCTCCAGCACAGGCCAAGCTTCCTGGGCGGTTGAAAACTCTCAGGACCTTATGTCTTCTCCAGCAACGAGAAGCTTGTGGTCACCGGAGTGTCCCAAACACAGCCAGACATTTTTAAAGGCTAACTGTGTGGATCTGCATGGCCCTTGGCAGCCCAAATAAAAAGGCACAGAACCATGGCCGCTGCGCCCTCGGAAGGCTGTGCGCTGCCCTGGCCGTTGAGAGAAGGGCTGGGAAGGACACAGAAGAGCCCACAGCATAGACACCACCTGCTTTTAATCAACTGCTCCACAAACACCCCAAACGCACAGCAGATGATCCTGAAACTAAGCAAAGGAATTGCAGTTTATTGAGCACCTCCTTGAGGTCAAATTGGCTAGATCCCAAAGGTCACGCTGGCTGCTGCAGCAGAGCCTCGCCATGAGCCCAGGCTGCCTGCGTGGCCTCAGGGCCTGGACCAACTATGTGGCTGGGGCTTCCCTGTTGTGTCAAAGCTCCCCTTCTATTCTCTCACTAGGCATGTCCTGGAGCACTATGCACTGTTCCCAACTGCCCCCAGCAGAGAGGGAGGGAAGGAAGGGAGGGTGAGGGAGGGGAGGGGAGGGTAAGGGAAGGAGGGTGGGAGGGAGAGAGAGAAGAGAGAGAGAAACATCGATTGCTTGTCTTCTGTACTTGCTCTGACTGGGGACTGAATTCACATCCCAGGTATGTGTCCTGACCAAGAATCAAACTGGCAACCTTTTGGTGCATAGGATGATGCTCCAGCAACTGAGCTACTCCAGCTGGGCAGTAGCTCACTCAGCTTGCATTTTCCAAAGGTCTCCGTGCTTGGAGCCATGTTGGGGCGATGCCAGGCAAGCACAGAGTGGCCGTGGAACGTCCTGCTCCTTTGGCTCAGAGGCCATGAGGGAAATGTTAACACAATGGAAATGCAATTGGCACAGGCCCAGCTGTCCCACTGGTGCCAGCTGGTGCCCAGGTGGGTGTCTAGGGTTATCTCTATGGATGAGAGAAGTAATTTCTGCACATTTAACTCATCCCCAGGGCAAGAATGAACTCTTCCACTTGGCACTGATTTTTGTATGGACACCCAACTTAGTGCCATAGCCACAGTTGAGCTCCTCTGCCCCTCATCTATCTTCTCCCTCTCTGTCTGGGACAGGGATTG